AGATTGGAGGTCCTCGATCCAAAAAGAACTGCGAGAAGGAACACTAAAAGTAGTAAGGAGATTTTTCGAACAAAGCGGGGTGCTCTATAAACGATCTTACGCAGGCCCACATTTGAGGTGTGTGTCCAGAGAGGAAGGTCGATGTGTTCTGCGGGAGGTGCACGAAGGGTGTTGTGGCGACCATAGCAAGGCGGGAGCCATGGTCGCGAAAATCTTAAGAGCTGGTTATTTTTGGCCGACAATGAAGACAGATGCGAAGGAAGTGGCCAAAAGATGCCTGCGGTGCCAAAAGCACGGCCCACTTATACATCAACCGGCGGAGACGATGACCACAATGAGCGCACCAATCCCGTTCGCACAATGGGGGATCGATCTGGTGGGGCCAATGCCGCAGGCAACGGGACAGCGTAAGTTTCTGATCGTCGCGGTCGACTATTTCACAAAGTGGGTAGAGGCTGAACCACTGGCCAAAATCACGGAAGAAAAAGTAATCCAATTCCTGTACAATAACATTTGTTGTCGATTCGGAGTCCCCAAAGTCTTAATATCAGATAATGGGACCCAATTCAATGGTAAGAGAGTGCGGGCATGGTGTGAGGAGATGGGAATCGAGCAACATTTCGCCTCGGTCGCCCACCCTCAGGCCAACGGGCAGGTGGAGGTGACCAACAGAATCATATTGAATGGCTTAAAGACGAGATTGGAAAAGGCCTCGGGGGCCTGGGTCGACGAATTAACATCTGTGCTCTGGGCATACAGGACCACCCCGAGGTCGACCACGGGGGAGACACCATTTAGCCTGGTCTATGGAATGGAGGCACTCTTGCCAATTGAACTGGAATTGCCATCCCAGAGGGTAAACACTTATAATCAAGAGCATAATGAGGAGCTCATGTTAGCTGCCCTAGACACGATCGAGGAGCTCAGGGAACAAGCCTCGACCAGAGTTGAAGCATACAAGCAACGAATGAGAGCAGCGCATGACAGGAAGGTGAAGATTCGCCGATTCCAGGTGGGTGATCTAGTTTGGAAAAGGGTGGACGTGCTCAAACATGTAGGAAAGCTGGAGCCCAATTGGGAAGGGCCATACCTGGTCGAAAAAGTTCACGCAGGAGGAGCATACTCGCTGAAGGACGCTGAGGGCAGATCCTTGGCCAGGTCATGGAATGTAGCTAATCTTAAAAAGTATTATGTGTAGGACTTTTTTTTTCTCCTTCTGTCAATGTGTTCCTAATCTCGAGCGAGTAATCTGGTGTAAATTTCGCCCAAGAACGTATTAAAATCGTCCTGACTTATTTGGACATGCTTTTTCTGTCAATGTTTTTCAATTCGTTACAATTACAAGTGCATGTGGATTTCGTTTTGCTCAGTTAACGACACT